GCATTCAATCCGCCACTACGATCCTGAATGGAAGTGGAGTGCGGGGGCGCATTCCTCAGACGGGATTGATTAACGCCCCAAGACTTCTGAAACTTTATTCTGTCGCTCTTTGAACTGATGTCTTTCCAGTCGACACCAATTGCATTTCACTGACATGGGCTCGTGATGCGTTGTTCGTCGTTTGCCTGGACGATGAAGAGACAAAAACCAGCCCAGCACAGAACAATGCGGATTCACAGTCCTATGAGAAAGGCCTTGTCGACCAGGGAAAGCATATTCTGACCGGTGGTGGAAGTCGTGGCCACGGTTTGAATCGATGGTACGACGCAACAATTCAGGTTAGAAATCTGTAATTCAGATAATGAATTCCATATAAGGAAAAATACGTATTAGTTCCGTCGAAAAACTCGTGCTCTGCGTGTTTGGAGTACCGTAGCGGCAGAAGCGGACGTTGCCAGTTCACGAACGAACACTGGGAAGCGTCCGTTCCGCGCGTCCGTCAAAACTAGGTCACCACTTCGCAAGCAGCGCAGCCCATTGCGCTCTCGAGATGACATTACAGTACCGAAAATTGTCAGTGGAGCGAATGATTTGTACTAGTTCGTGTTATCATCTCTCCAGGCTGACTATCGTAGACCAATGGTAGATCGCATGCTCGTAGGCAGGTAGCGTAGGCAAAGCTTTGTGTTCTAAGCACGGTGTCAACGACATGGCGCTGCTTGCTCGTCCGCTTTTCCCTTCTGTACACTCAAATTCTTCTTTTCTCCTTTTCAGCTTGTTGTCAGTAGCGGTGGAACAAATGGTTTATGCATCGAACATTCTGCTGCCGAAGGTATAGTCATCATCAAAATGGCTGAAAGTGCGCTCCGATACGAACGTGAAAATCGTAAACGAGTCATGGTGAGTTCATATACTAGAAAGTATAAACGGCTGTATACCATGCAGATGGGACGGCTGCGGGGCACAGTAAGGCTTGGTCGTTCATTCACTTCTTATTGTCACAGTAGAATTTTTTTCCCAAGCAATCTACGAGAGCGGAGACTACGGTCAGTCGGCTACAGGCACGCCACGTTCATAAATTTTTTAGGGAATGTACAGACATTTGAATGGTTATCTGGTCTCCTCGACCTCTTTGTAGGACTAGCTTCTGTCTGTCTAAGTTCTCCCCTATCTCCCTTCGAAAACAAGCCGATTCTGAAATAAAAAAGTTCCTGGATATGCTCTTTCGCAACTAGCTTCACTTACCTTTTGTTATCTGCGAAGTTCTGAAACTTCGGCAATCAATCAAAGCAGTAGACAAGCAGCTTATTGGAAGTCGAGATAAAGCTACTGTGGCTTGCTTGATTTCTCTAACATGACCATCATTTAGGTCAGTCGAGCCGAACGTGAGATTAGTGCTAAACCTCTAACATGGCATATAAGTGCCGATGGCCTGGAGATACTGCGGAAACAAGCATCGGAGCTCGACGAGTGAGTTTCGTGGCACATCATAATGGCATCTCTCAGAAAACGGAAGCATTTAACCCTAAAGTTATACTTTCTAACAAATAATTAAACCCCAATATCGTTCTGCATAAAGAACATTTTAGTAATTGTTTCCAGACTCACAAAGGAATTGGACCTGGAGGTACTGGTGTTCAAAGACTTCGGAAGAAATTTCATGAAGAAATCCGGTTTCAGTCCTGATGGCTTTGTTCAATTGGCACTCCAGTTAGCACATTATAAGTGAGTATCTACCTGGCAATTCATAATTCAAGGATGTCTCGGACACGGAATAGGAGGTCCATAACTGTAGCTGAGATCTCACTATCCGCAGTACGGGTGGCTGCAGGTAAAGCTGAGGGTCGTTATAGTTCCTCTTACATTCCCCTTCGAAGTGCAGTCATACCGACCCTGTGAGTCCCATTTGTTTTGAAAACTACATTTCAGGCTTCATGGCTACCTCGTCTCTACCTATGAATCAGCATCACTTCGACGATTCCGTGCTGGCAGGGTAGACAACATTCGAGCAAATACGAGAGAAGCTTTACAGTGGGTAAAAGCAATGACAAAAAATGAATCCAAGGTAATTTGAAGAGTTTGCAGAATCAGAATGAATCGACAATTCCTACCGTTGCTGCTAATTAGTTCGTTACAAGGTATCTTTCTGGAATTGCTGTTTTCTTTTCAGGAAACTAAATTGGTCCTTATGCGGCGAGCAGCTGAAAAACAGGCACTTATAACACAAGAGGTGAGCTGTGTTCTATAGGTATAGCCGTCTCCTTTCAGAACCCCTAGATCAAAACCTCACAACTCGGGGCCATACCAGCATAAGACCCGTGGCTTTATTCCTCTCTCTGTCATATTACCAAAGTTGTAAGTTGAACCGACAAGCTTCGGTAGTATTGAGTTTTTGACCCACTTACCTTGAGATTCATACCATTTGACAGAAGTCATAGGATACCTCAAAGTTACGCTTGGAAATGATAGAAATTCTTTTTTCAGAACCTTGTTGGACACGGTATCGACAATCATCTTTGTGCTCTCCTTGTTTTGGCGAGACAATCAGTGGAAAGCGGTGAAATCGAGAAATTGCCGGATATCTTCCAAGATCCTCTTTGGGCGGAAGTGTTGCGATTCCCATTGTCTACTAGTCAGGTGAGGACAATTTAAAATGCCTATCAACATTTGGGAAGTTTTTCTCGCTTTTCTTTGACTTGAGCATTCACGCTACGGTACTGGGAACGAAATAACCAGTACTACCAGTGGTTCGGGAGCTCGATGGAAACGGTAGGATTTAGGATAATCTAGGGCAAATGTTCACACCACATTGGTTCACATTCGATGCTTTGGTGTTGTGTATTTTCACTTTATGAATTATGAGGACACCCTGATTCAGCAGTCATTAAATTATAAATAACACCCTCTGACTTCAGGTCACAACTTCCCCAGACATTCCCGATTGTTATCTATGCTATGGGGCTGTGGTCCGGGATGGATACGGCTGCTCATACAACCTCCAGAATGACGTTATTATTCTTGCACCTTCTGCATTCAAATCGAATCCTCGAACCAATCTGGCCGCATTCAAAGATTCGTTACGAACAGCACTTTGTGACATGAGAAGCCTCCTTATTAGCTGAGCAGTATTGTGAAGAAATTCGAGATAGTTTTCTGTGAAGAATCCTCTAGTCCTTAATTGCTTTTGTCATCGATATTTATTTAGAGATTAATTTATATACATATATAGATTATTTATTATATTTGCGAGCAGTGAATTGTCGTGAAAATTGTATAGTACGAAGAACCTGGTGAAATAAATGAGTTGCCAAACCTGTACTTTAAGGTTTTTTTTNTTTTTTTTCCGGAGACAGGAAGGAAACCAAAAAATTGTAAGAAATTGAGTTATAATACGACAAAAATTGAATATGCTGAAGCAGCGAACATACTTGTGACGCCTACTATATACGTGAACCGAGTGTTTCCGCCAAAGTCGACAAGGCTTGACCAGAAGGATACGAGCACTTATTAGGTAAAGCTGGCCCATTATCCAAAGCCGCAGATAATCTCCTTACGATTTTGAATGGAGATTGAAGTAATGGGCACATCTAGTCCCTAGACCGGATTAATAAGCGCCTACAGACTCGAATTTTTTCGAACTGCTTTATCGCTGGTATGAATTGGCTCCTGAACTTTGCAATTGCGTCCGAGCCCTCCGGACGTCCCCAGACAGCATGTAATCGAATTTTTTGACACAATGTATCAATATACTCACAGACGGATAGGAGAAACTTTTATTAATAGTTGATAACTCACTTTTTCACTGACACTTACAATGTAGCCTTCCGACAATAGAAAGAGATATCTCACAGTAAAAAAATTGTATTAGACAAGCCAAAGCTTTGGAATGGAGATATCAACACAAAGTTGTATGCACGGATTCGCTGGCTGAGCTCCTTTATAGATCATAGCGAGTTGATCTACAGAGAAGTGCGCCAGCGTGACGCGGTTGAGTCTAAACGTCGAGGGAACACAGGATAGAGTCTAGCGACTGGGGGTGCCGGATCAGTTTGGAGCAGTTTGGCTTCAAGGAACCAGGCCACTGTTCTTTCAGGCGGATTGAACAATCGAAATGAAGAACATGTTGATTCTCTTCGTGCAGGAATTCTGCTCCTAACCTGTTTGGAAAGCTCAGACGTAAAAATTGCCGTACCTCATGGTCCGGCACCATAGAACTATCAAGGAAGTGGTACTTGCTCCGGAGCTAATTTTGGGAGCTCTTTTCCAACACTTGATACGTTAATCCCAATCCAACCGAAGGGCGCCAACTTCAGATGTTGTAATACCTACGGCTTATAACTACGAAGTACTTACATAACATACATATGGGTAATCAAAGAATCTTTGCCTTTCAAATCGAACGTAGTTTTTTCAGGGAACGATTCCTTTCTTTCCAGATCATCTATTTGACAAGGATGTTATCTCGAGCTGGACCTTCTCCGTTTGCTACCAGTGCAAACTAGATCGCCCCGCCCACACTGTAAGTAGCTCCCTTCCCTTGCCTTCCCCATTGTGCACCCGTGCATTCAACAATGTGCCTCTGTTTAGCCTCCCTAATTGTCAATGCTCATTATGAGAAATAGTCACCTATGATCAAACAATTAAAGCTATGCAAAAACTCTTATGGTTAGGTCAATCACCAGACGGAGAAATCACGGTTATATGTAGTTCTTGAGAGGATCTCTACTTCTACTCGATCGATTTACTGGTTCCATTTTCGATACTTCTTTCCATAATCCTTTTCACCCATTCAATGGGAACTATTTCTTTCCTCAAAATGCGCTTCACTACCTCCGAATCGAGGACTGCGATGTTCTCGCAAGCAAACTGTCTTGTTGTTTCTTCGATGGCTTCTTTTGAGAGTCCTTTGCTGAAAAGAACGGTTTTCAATAATGGCTACAAGCAGTTTTACCAGACCCATACATATTAGAAATGCTTGCCAGGTAACAATCTCATGAAATGCCATAAATGTACGCATTCACTTACTTTTCCTGCTAACTCACCATGTATAACATATATATTGATTGGATCTAGTGAGGCATCGCAGCGCAGAGACCCCGCGATAACCGTACTCGAGAAGGCATAAACCAAGTATGCCCTAACCCCCTGCGAGTCACTCATCAGGTGTTACTCGTTCATCCTACCAAAGTTACCATTAGCATAAAACGGTGTTAGCTAGTACAATGGGTTATGCCGGCGAATAATCGCACGGAAGACGTACCGTCCAAATGCGCTTGTTGTTCTTGAAGAGAAAGAAAAGTGGCGCAACTCCTAGTTCATGGTGAAACCAAAACCTTCATCGATTAGGACGTTTCTCTCAGTGCGGTTCTGCCAAATTTTGCTACAATACACGCAGTTGCGCAATTATTTGCACTCCAACGATTTTTGTGGAAGACGTTCAGTCGCTCGCAACTCGTGATACTACAAACGCCTACTCTAAATTTCCAAGGGTTAGACTTGAGCGGCGCTCCGCGCTGGCCGCGTGCTGTCGAATATTTGGAAAGGAGGTGCATGGTGATTGGCGCTCGCGATGTGTGAGCCAGGCGCCGCTAGTCATTGCGAAATCGCGTCTTCTGGCCCCACCCTATTCCCAAATATGACAGACTCGAAAGAAAAAAGTACGTCAAACTCTAAAACCGGGTAAGCTCCCGGACTTTACCGGTCATTCATCATTAAGTGAAATACCGCCTGAAATAGAATTCCCTGGTACTGCGTCTTGTAAAGGGCTAATGAACTCCAATCACTGATCAGAACGGGTAGCGCTCGGGTTTCAGTTGTAGCTCACAATCACCTTCCCTTGGATACCTTCGAACATTAACCCATTGACGACCATCACGTTTGGCGGGAAAAGCAGACTGCAGTCCACATGTGGGCTGCATGGTCCCGGACGATCTTTTTTTTGAACATTGGATTCAGAGCTGTTCAATTTTTTCGCAAATTTACGATATGACTAACGATGATATTAGGTGGAACTTGAATTTTAGTCGGCTACTGAGGGATTCTGATGAGGAGTAGTTCCACACTCACTGATTCCTTTCAGAGAAAGGAAAAAAACACCGGTGCGGTGTAAAACTGTCCAAATTAGTGCGAAAGGTAGGTAGGCCCTAAAGATCAAAAGCTGTGATTCCCTGCCAACATTACTCCGTAATTCAGCTACCCGCTCGGCAAGAACAAACGTACTGAGATATTCTGATCACCTGCAGTCTCGTACAACGCCCGTCAGGTAGCCGAGTTCATTGGCATCAGTGAGAGTATGGCGTAAGCATATGTCGTAAGCAAGGCCACATCCAAGTACCACCGTAATACCATTCAGTTCCAGCAGCTTTTCCAATTCCATCCTGAACATTGGTATGAAGAGTTGCACGTAGTTCTTCAACCATACTTTTTTGAAAATGGAGGCTTTGACCGAGCCACCTCATCACAACGCGAAGTACTGACTGTTCTCATAGCC